ATATTTATTCCAATATATTTACCATATTATGTTTATTATAATATAGTCAGTAGTAATGATAGCTAACAATAATAGCTAAAAAAAGATAGTTTAACATCTTTGGAGAAGCATCCAAAATTTTAAGACACAAGATCTGAGATTTTGACTATCCTACTGGGTAAGATTTATTTCACAGTTATGGATGCTGGTTATTTTCCCAAGCTCTTCTTTTGTGACTTGTCTCAGTCAGGGGCAGGAACCTTTATCAGTACAATAACCAGGAAGCATTCTCTCTCCTATGTTTCATTTCAGATTTTATCCAGGCTACAACTGAACATGAAGAGTTTTCCCCATTTCATTTCGATAAAAGGGACACAGTCAAAGAATTACCTTGGTTTCCTCTTCTAGCTGTCTCTTAAGTTCTTCAATCTGCTGTGTAAATGATGTTTTCCCCCGGGACAGCTGACTTATCAGTGACTCCTTCTCTTCAAGTTGTCTTATAAATTCACCTGCCACAGGATTCAACCAAGAAAAGGTAAGATGATGAAATGACAAAGCCCCAGACAAAATCAAAGTCCTGCCTGTCCAATTCTGATGAGGAAAAGAACTAGCAGTGATTACAGCCCGATGTTGTGAAGCTTCTTCCTAAGTTGTAACCATCAGACACTTCACCAGGATATTTTCCTTAGGGTTATGTTTGTTTGGGGGTTTTTGTTTTGTTGTTGTTACTATTTTGTTCTACCAATACCTTGATTCATTAGTTTTAGTTCAGCTCATGGATCAGATTAGACTGATGCTTGCTTTCACATGCCGTTGTATGTGGTTTAGTTTATACTTTTCTCCACTACTTTACATGCTTTTCCACAGACTTCTTTTCAGAGGGCTGCAAAGCACTCTGAGAAGCTCACAATGACCAGCATACAGAGCAGCGAGATACATAAGGAAAACTTCCTTTATCACATGAAGGACGTCGCTGCGAGGTGGAAACTGCAGCCTTACAGGTGTACACAGAACTAACAAGGAAACACACAGGAAATGAAAAATATGTCTATGTAAATACAGAGAGCACTGCTATCTGATGAGGATGCAGAGATTAAATAGCAGAACTATGGCTAAAAGGGTAGCAAGCACTTAGAGGATATGTGGCATTTTTGCCCGGATGTAAGCATCTTCTAGAGTGCAATGCCCAAGGTCCCACTGAGGAAGATGGTATCCACAAAGAGCAGCAGTATGCTGGCTCCTTTGTCTTCCCTCTAGCATTGCAACATAGATGTACCCTGAAAATGGGTACCTAGCCAATACATCCCTTTCAGCTCATTAGATGGTATCACAGTATGCTGGTAAATACAGTTACGGGTTTGCTTTAAAAGCCAGTCCGAGGCAAGGTCTCCCCACCAAGATAATAAAAATATTGAAGATATGAGTGTCAAAAGACACAAAGTTACTGCTCCATTCAGCAATCCTAATCCAGCCATCTTCAGAGCAGATGCCATCGCACAATACATCTCACCAATGCAGTGCTGAGGCACACCTGGTAAATTACTGGGAAACAATCTACCTGGCCTGACTGAACACATACCATTCTCACTCTGGAGTTTTGTCTTCTGAGTAGTGAGGTCATTCATGAGGCGAGTCATTTCCTCCAGTTTTGTTTTTGTCTCATTCAGATGGTCTTCATAAGTGCGACAAAGTTTCTCTGCATTCGCCTAATGGGAACCAGGAGAAAAGGCAATCAAAGCTGTAGCCTCTAGGCAACCATTTGGAAGCATTCCAAATGTATCCGTGTTTTGTTCTGTTTGTTTGTTTGTTTGTTTTTCAGAGGACTGGCAGATAACAAAAACACAAACACCACAGCAGGAGGGCAGAGAATAGTATCCCTAATCTACAGCCCCAGGCCAGGGGGACTCCCCATCAGAAGACCTTTCCCGTTTGTTTTCCCTGAACTGTGTTCTGAATGGAAGCAGCAGTGTAAAAAGATTCTGCAAGAACTTCAAAAGCAATCACATGGCTATGAAGTTGGGGCATAGCCTCCTCATAATTACTAGATGGGAAAATCACCTCCAATGAAAATTGCTCTACTGATTCTGCTTTAATTGCCATTTATCATAAATTGAGTTTGATTACAGCTTTCTAACACTCAGAATACTGAAATTTCACCACTTGCACTGAAAGTACTCTTTAGAATTCTCTGAAAGCTACCAAGACAGGAAACAAAATCCAGAATTCAGCCATAGGAAGTAAAAATACACATGGCAGTCATGCAAGCCTCTGCTTTGCACTCCTTGCTAACATGTCAAAACTGTGAACCAAGGGAAGGATTGATATAACCTATATTGTACACCTGCAGTTCACAGTCACAGTTACTGCACCTTGGGCCTGGGTCAAGACGTTATGACCTTAAGGTCATATTGTTATGACCTTTAGCAATAAAGAATTCATGAGTAAAACCAGGTCCTGGTCCTGTTTGAGAGATCGAAGTAGAACATATAGGATTGGTAGTACCAAGGATGAGTTATTTGACAGCTTCGTGAAGTGACCATTTGATTAATCAACTTGGCAAAAGAACTAACTTTTAAGGTGTCCTGAAGTAAACTGCCTTCATTATAATCCTAAAAATCTCACCTACAGGTCAGAAAGACCCCAGCCCAGATTAAGACCCCTCCTCTGAGCGTGTTGTAGTGATTAGAAGCCCTGGTATCCTTGGCTACACATGACCTTTGGGGGTTTGAGAAGCCTCAGGACCCTTACTTTTCCCTTGACCATCTGCTCCACGTTGGATGACAGATCATCCACTTCCATCTTCAGCTCGCTTTTCTCCTTTTCCAGCTTCTGCTTGACCCGCTGCAGGTTGTCCAGCTGCTCCCCCATCTCAGCCACGCTGTCTGCATGCTTCTTCCTCAGGGTGGCAGCCGTGGCTTCGTAGTGCAGCGTGGCCTCCTCGAGGTCCCGTCGCAGCTTCAGGAACTCTGCCTCACGCTTCTTGTTCATCTCCAGATGGGCAGCTGTGGCTCCCCCAGCCTCCTCAAGTCGCTCACTTAATTCTTCCAGCTCTCGGGCCAAATCTGATCTCTGCTTTTCCACCTTGGCTCGAGCAGCTCTTTCTGCTTCCAGCTCCTCTTCTAGTTCTTCTATACGAGCCTATGTAAGAGACACAAGCACCTTTGGGTCACCTTCATGATGATTCTCATAAGAAGACCATGAAGCACCTTACAAATTGTTAAACCCTCTGCCAGCCCACGCTTTACAGCACAGAAGCACAGCAGGTAAAGGACTTGACCATTTGTGCCAGGAAATCAGATCTTGAACTAGACTAAGGATGATGAGTCATATCTTTCTCACAGTAGATTGCTCTACAACCTGTAGTTCAGGACATATAGGTCAAGTGCATTCACCTTACACTCGTGTACTTGACATTTAGCCGAAGTACGTGAGAGGAGTTTATTGATAGTAGGAGTACCAGCAACAAATTGTCACTGAAAGGGACTCATTGTTCCCATTTTAAGAGTTCTGTGACAAAAATAACTTCTCTCTAGGACTGTTGAGACAGGATTTCAAATACAGCAATGTGTAGAATTGCTTGAATAATGAATATTCATTGGGAGCAGTCTTTTTTTTATGAAACTCTTATTTTGACCAATCTATGCTTCACATCCAATTTGTGCACATGTTCTTTATTTACTGAAAAGCAGAGCTGATATTTTGGGTCAAGACACTTTGTTTGAACTGTGCTGACTTTCTTTGGCCTTTTCATTTCTGTTGAAAATTTCCTGTGCATTTGGGTTCTTCCCTTTAATTTCAAAACTATGCTTATCACTGCTGAACTCCTCCCCAGCATCTACCCTCAGGTCCGTGGTTTGGAACAATATTATTTGCTTAAAGCACAACACCAGGGCCTTCCTGCCTTGCCTAAAACATCTAGCATTCTGTGGTCATATGTCCTACTACTGGGAAAGAACCACTGCAGAGTAAGCATTCTGAGGGGAAAAGGATCGGTCTGGGAAGCTATGGAGTTGCAGCAATTTGGGTCTCAAAGCCAAGCTGCAGCTACCCGTGAAAAGTCTCCACAAAGCCCTTTACTGATGCACAAAGATAAACACATCCAAAGAGATATGAGAAAGAATCAAGCTGACCTGAAGCTCCTTGATCTTCTTCTGCAGCTGCATCACAATAGCTTGTTCATCTTCTATCTTGGAATTCAGTTGACTCATTTCAAATTCTTTCCTGCCATGGAAAGGAAAATTCCACTGTGACAATTTTCCCTGTTTTTCAAGTGAGGCTTTTGCAATTTTTAAGGAGTTGTTCAATAGAACTTCTATCTTAGCTAAAAATTAAAGCAATTCTCATGTATTGTGATTTGCAGGAAAGTACATCTTCCTCTGAGCAGAGATTTCCAAGACAAGACTCTGCATGCATTTGTGCAATATATTTCTGGTTCTTTGTGTCATAAGCACGTTTAACAGTCAGGTCTCACTGTCATCGCTAGTGAATATGAACAACTTCTTAGAGACTAAGAAACATAATAACTTTTTTTTTTTTAAATACTGGAAAGTGTCATGAATTGTAATGTTTCAGGTGTACCATGCACAAGAGTGATTTTCCCTCCCTTCTTGACTCCACACTCGCATGTCATGGAATTTCCTTTTAGCCACCATCAGAGCAAGATGACACTGAAGGTTCTGAAAGTGCTTTCATTGCTTTGTTTTGTATAACAGAATCAGTCTCTTACTTTTTTAGCTTTTCTTCCATCTGCAGCTTATCATTCTCCAAGTCCATGACACTCTCTTGGGTCAGCTTCAAGTCCCCTTCCAGTTTGCGTTTGGCCCTTTCTAGATCCATCCTCACTTTCTTCTCTTGTTCAAGTGAGCCCTCAAGCTTTAGGAACAAAGTCACTTATTAAGGATATTGAACACAGATGGTTTACAACAGTCAGATGTATGCTGAGCCCAGTTTTGTGCTGAGCTCTAGCAAGTTGCAAAGCGGGAATACTGAAGTACAAGCATCCCAATTAACATTTTTTGTTTTCTAGCAGCCAGTGGGCATATGGGCTAAAGAAATATAACATAAGGGTTATCCATGCTTTACATCTATGCAAGCGCTACAGTTCCCCTACTAGCTAAGTTCTGTTTGACTTCATGCTGATTACACTGCAAATGCAAACTGAGTGGATTTCGCCTTGTTATTGCACTCCTTTCAAAGATTGAACTACACAGATAATGTTTTATAGTATTTCTGTAATTATACCTATTACAGACAGTACATAGACTGTGTTTCTAAATCCTCAATAATTTCTAAAAGGACAGGAATTCAGGTCAAAGTTTTAGAAACATTTCAGACTTATGAAAACCACTAAGTGGTGGACAAACCAGCCTGGGAAAACACGAAGGTAGGGCCAGCTTACATCATCCACTTGCTGTTCCAGTTTCACTTTAGCTTTGCTCAGTGTGTTGACCTTGTCCTCCTCTGCTTGTAGGTCATCCAGAACTTGCTGATGAGCTTCCTGCAAGGACTTTTTCTCCTTAGTGAGTTTGCTGATATTCTCATCAAGAGTCGCCATTTCTTCTGTCAGATTTTTGACCTGTGTGAGAAGGGAAGATTTACTTCTAGGCCTTTGAAGCAAGGGAATATCATAATCTGGCTCAAATGACTGTCTGTACTGAACTTGTATTCCCCCTGTGGCTTTCTGAGTGAAATTGCTGTCAGGAAGACGATGTGTGCCAGTTCTTGTTGTGGATTTAGTACATTCTTTCAAATATTCTTTTCAGTGTCACTCTCATTGTGTTGGATTTCAGCTTTTGATCCTCTCTGGGAGAAGTAGGAGATGAGCTTTAGATTTACAGGCTCTGAGAAGAGCTGGAAGAACTCAATGTTATAGCAGAAAATTGATTACTTAAAAATGTGTGATCTAGACATAATTCTTTAGCTAAAATGCAGCAAAACTCACTTCAGAAAAAGGGGAACTTACGCTCAGAGTTAAGATGTTTTCCTTCATAAGGTCCAATAACTGTGTATATACCAATCCTTCAGTGTGGTTTGTGTAACAGACAGTGTAAAACCATCAGAAAACTGGCAGCTTTCATCATAAAGGTAATCCATACCCAACCTCTTTTGAATACATAGTGAAGTTCTAAAGATACCTTGTTTTCAGTAGCGTGCTTCTCTTTCTCTACTTTTGCAAGTGTTATTTCAAGATCATCAATATCCTTCTTGAGCTCAGAGCACTCATCTTCCAATTTTCTCTTCTTAGACGTCAGCTCAGAATTCATCTCTTCCTCATCCTCAACCCGCTCTGTCAGTTCTTTGACTTTGGCCTCCAGCTGAATCTTGGATTTAATCAACAAGTCGCACCGCTCCTCAGCATCTGCCAGAGTGTCTTGCTCCTAGTGTGGCACAAGGAAGTGGACAGCAATGACTGCCTGGCCTCTTTAATTCCTCACTTGTCCCCTATCCTGTAAGTGGTCAGAGAGTCTGATCCAATGCAACAGAGAAGCATAAGGAAAATTTCATACTCCTGATTTCAGAAGACAAAACTAACAGGTAATTAGCCGAGCAGGGTGAGACAGTGGTAAGCATGACTAGTGACGTATAAAACTCTTTCATATCTAACTGCCACAGACATTGCCCTGGACAGAATAGCTCTTAAGATTTGCATTGCTAGCCCACCTGGTTATACACTAGAACATCTCACAAGAGCAACAGCTTATTTTAATTGAATTGCACTAACCCTCTGGTCTGTAAGCCTTCGAGTTTCAAATAACACCATAAATTTATGAATATATGTGTCTACTCACAGCTTGGAGCTGGAGAAGCAAATCATTTTTTTCCTGAACTAAAGAGACTTGCTTTTCTTCAAGTTCCTTCCTCCTGGCTTCTGATTTTTCAAGGGCCTCCTTCAGCTTCAAGAACTCTTCCTTCATATTGGCCATCTCCTTTTCAGTTTCTGCGGTCTTCAGGAGAGGCTTGATCTTAAAGAAAAGCTTCATCCAGGGCCAGTTCTTCACAGCCATAAAAGCGCGGATGTTCCACTGAATTACAAGAAGGGCATCCCTGGTTTAAGGAAACAAACAAAATTCCCTAAAGCTCAGCATTAATTGAGAAAGTGAGATTTTTTTTCATTCTCAGTTAGTTTTATGGCTTTGTTCTCAGTAATATTAGAAACCTGTGCTAGGTTCCAAGCTATACAAGTAACTTCCTCCATATCTCTTGATTTTCACCAGAATTTCAGGCAACTGTTATACAGTTGCTATTATTTTTATCACACATCCACTTTAGACCTTTAATTTAGGGTTAGCTATAGCCTTAGGGACTTTAATAATGGCTCTATTCAACATACAATTAAATGGCAATGACTATTATCTGCTAAGATTTAAGGAGGTGCCTTCATACCTGCGCTCCACTATCTTCTGATACTCAATACGCATCAGTCTGCCACGTGCTCTCGCCTGGATCATCGTCAAGATTTTCGCAAGTCTCTCATCCCTCATTTCTTCTAGATGGCCCAAGAGACCAGCCTTGAAGAACACCTGGTACATGCACAGATTTCATTTCACCATAAGCTAATATTGAATTCCTGAGTTACACAGATCGTATTGAAATCAGAATAATGGTATTTTTATTGACACATTATGAAGTCAAAGAGTATGGGGGTCAAATACTACTTACATCAGGGACTGCACTGTACAGATAGATACAAAGATATTTTGAAACTTGTTACATCTCCCCAGATTTGAATAAGCCAAACTATTTTATTGCTGCAATTTTGTTGCCACAGTACTTTTGAACTGTTCAAACTAGGTCAGCTGAACCACAACTGCCAGGTCCAGAGATCTCTGCTAATAGGATCATGTCATAATTGCACATGGCCTCATTTCAAAATAATCTGCAGCTCACTTTGTGTTCCATCTATGTTTGATTGTACCTAGATTATATTATGAATATATTATATTAGCTATTGGTTTATGGGGGGGGGGGGGTGTGGGTGTGCAGGGCATGGAGCATCAGATGCTGCTGCATCCACTTGCAGTGTTGCTGTAATATAAGCTTCATGGAGGTTTGAGCCAAAGACATTACTTCCTCTATGACATCTTAAAAATTAGTATCAATTTGCTGCTATATTGCTGGTTCCTTGTATTATTAACTTCATTAATTGCCACCAGAAATTGCATAATGTCACATTCTGCAAATTAGATATTAGGTCTCTCACTTTTCTTTTTAGATAAGCAATGATGGTCTTTGCTGGTTACCTTGGTGTGTCCGAAACGATATTGGTTATGGTCAACATCTAAAGATGCCAGCAGTTTTTCAGCAGCTTTTCTGCTATCCACAAATGTATCCTCTGGGATCGCGCCTGGATTCAGAATGCGGTATCTGTTAATAACAGATGAGCAATGAGTAAAAATTGGCCTAGATTATGCTTCTCCCTCTGCCCTGATCTTACCCCAAAGCTAATAAATAAATGGATAGATAGATGGACAGATAGATAGATAGATAGATAGATAGATAGATAGAAAGAAAGAAATCCGGGTAGTTTCCTACTTTGCATCTACACAGATACAAGCAAGAGCAAAATTCTGCCTTCCATGTTCAGGCAAACTGAATTGAAAATAAACTCTAATGGGATAAAATACCTCAAAATAAAAATGAAAAGACATGCTTTGCTTATTTTGACTGGTGAGTTAGGACAGGAGACAGCACAGCTCTGCATTACCTTTGCTTAAAGTCAGCATAAAGCACTCTGTTTGGGAAACCCTTACGGCAAATGCGGATGCCTTCCAGGACACCATTACAGCGGAGCTGATGCAAGACAAGGAAAGCATCCATTTCACCTACAGGGAAAAATACAAGGCTAAATTAATGGAGATTCTCCATAGAGTTTAATCTTTGTGTCACTGAAGTGAACAACACAGACAGTATGTAAACACAATCTGGTGACTTGGGAGTAAGTATTGGAATGACATAGTCAGAATACACAAAGTTTTAAGACTGTTTTATTTTCCATACCTGGAGTTTTTGATTCATTGGGGATAATGCATCGTACAAAGTGAGGGGATGTAGATTTTAGGTTAGTCATCAGCTTATTTAAATTTTCCTAGAACAGACATATTAAAAACACAATTAGCTTCAGTGGTTTAGTGTGATTCCAAACACTTATTTCCTTGGCTTGTTGGTTGTTAAGTTTATTAAAGTCATATCTCTAAATAGCCTCCAACAAAATTATAAGATTACCAAAATTATTACAGAGAAATCTGTTCAAATAAACCAAAGTATGAATTAACTTAATTATATGAATCCATATCAGTTTTAGCAGAGTCTTCAGAAGACACGTTTTACTTACAACCCCAGAAATGTCAGAAACCAGATGAACATCAAGCAAGATGCAGTATCATCCTGCGGAGCATTTCTGTAAAGCCAACTGTATTTTTGCCTAATCACTTCCCCACTCAGTGAGGATGACAAATGAGAGAACCTGAGCTGGGTACTTAGCAGTTCCTCATGTGCTGGAAAGTAAGTGGGCTTCTATTTGGGGAGTATTAAATTACTGCCTGAGTGATCCTTAGCTATTTTTACACTTCTTCAGCCGGTAAGGTACAGGTCTCAATTTCTTGATTTCCCTTCATGAGCAGTACCTCCAAACAAGATAGAACATGACTTGTGAGAGGTAACTACTTCCTTCTGTATGAGAGGTTTACCTACATTATAGCTTCTTCAGTGTTACCCATAAGAAATGGTACTAATGGTAAATTACAGTCCCCATTTTTCTGCAGACATGGTCCTAGCAACAGCTTCCACCAGGAGCATGTGCCAGTCCCAGTAGAAGGGAATTACTCAGGAAAAAAAGAGGCTTTACGCCACTCCATTAAACAACTTTTGTTTTCCATGACTTCTCTAACCCTAAGATCCAATTACAATCAGTAATCAGATAGGTACTAGGAAATTACTTGTAATCAGCTCCTCTTCCAAAGACATGCGTGAAGATGTAAGCCACAGAATAAATGATAAAGGTTGTTCACAACATTCTGTGATACTTTCTCTAACAGAATAAAACCCACTTAATCTCTTGAATGCTCAAAGAAGGTAAAATGGAGCAGCCCCTAATACACGGAGCTTTAATAACAGTGTAATTCACTTAGCCAAGGCCAATAACCCAGGCCCCAAATCAAATTCTGATGTTGAATGTAAATTTTTTTGTCCATTACAATCCTTAACAGTCCTCTTCAATGTATTGTCTTAACTAAAACCATCAGGTGGGGAGAGGTAAACAAACCTTGTGCAATGAGGACACTGTTTGGAAGGAAGCACCTTTCTTGCGTTTCTTTTCTCCACCCTGGTCAGCTAAGAGGGAAAAAAAAAGGGGGGATTAAAAAAATCACAGTCTCCATCTCAGTAAGGGGGGCAGGCAGGGCACGGGAGACAGACCAACTGTTCTAATAGTACAACTGCCTCTGAATGAAAAGCATAGCTAATGACTTGGTGGCTCTGACTGCTCAAATATACCAAGCATTCTGAACATCAAGTGTGATATATCCCAAGTTTGCAGCTCTCTGTCCATATTTAGGATTTTTGTCAAAGAAAGATCACTGTAAGCTTTCTGGATTGCATTTGCATTTCAGATCTACACAGCATCATTTCTCAGCAGAAAGTCCATAAATATGAATATGGCAGAAAAACAACTTTTAACAAAATGAAGGTATTTGTAGTTTGCTAAAAAGCCTACAGGGTGAGATGATGTAGAAAAAGCTGAAGAACAGTAATGGTTATGGAAAATTGATACTGTACATTGTACTGTATATACAATGATCCTCACTTGTCTGCTCTACAGACACTGAACTTGTGCAAGTAACATTTGTCTAGAACAGAGGGAAATGAATATTTGTAATTTTAAGTATAGTAGCTTTACATCCCCTGAATTTTGCTTAAAGCCACAGAGTCAAAATCACTCTGATCCTCTAAAAGAGGGCTAGTTTCTGACATGACCTTTACCAAGCTTCACAAGAGCCAAACATGACCCAGAAATGTACAGCGATTGCTGCAGCTTTCTAAACACTAGACTATTAGATCATTCCCAGGAGGTCTGGCATTCTGTCACCTGTCAACAGTAGTCAACATAAAAGGAGGAGTGAAGAGTGCAATGTGCTTGATGCAATTGTACACAGCCTTTCCCCCATTTGAAAGTGACACTGCTGAGACTGGAACAGGCTAATCTGCACAGGCTGTTCTTTTCTCCCGATGCTGAAAAAAAGCAAGGTAGTATTCTGACAGACGGGAATATCCACAGGCAAATAGGCAGCTAGTAACTTGCAAAACTTTGCTAGTGGCAGGGATTTTGTTATTTGCATTCAGCTCTATTTCTTATTCACATTATAAAGTCTGCAGCCTCCTTGCCTCCTCAGAAAGTGTCTTATGATTCATGAAAACATCTATAGAAATGAGATTACTAATAAATAGGCTGTAAGTGATTGCAACTTCAGGACATTGAGAGCTACATCTTTGTAATGAATGGCAGTCTTATTTACTTAAGATCAATTTTCTGGGTGCTTGCTACTTGTCTTCTCACAAATAAAGGAGTTCTGTGTGATGCATGCAGCTTAAATACATTCTCAGACATAAATTGATCTCATCAAACAATCAAACAACAGCAAACAAAATAGAAGATTGTATTAGCAAAATCTTCTACTTTGGCCAGTGTGGAGTGGTGTTCAGGTACTTTCAGTGTCTACTTGCCACTAATCCAAAAAACCACTCCAAAACTCTCTTAGATTTTGTATTTCTTATTTAATTCATGGTGGCTAGCAAGGAGGACCACAAGTGTGGGAAATAAGAGCTGTTCTACTTCATAGACATTTACGTACAAAACTTTCTGTGCAACACTTGCCTGCGTATCTGAACACTTGCATGCTCAAACTCCCACTGCAGCATTCACAACACACAGATTTCCTTGCCAAAATTGCTCAGAGCTATTATGCATTCAAACTAGCTGAGTTAATGGCCTCCTTGGTATAACTGGCAAACTCCTACAGATGCTGTGTGAATCTAAATAATTAGTCACTGCCTCATTTAGCGTTCAGTCAATTGCAGTGGAGAGAATTGTTTTGTTTCTGAAATTAATTCCCAAGCACACATCCCAGAAACAAAAGAAACCCATATGAGTTGATTCTGCTTACCGCTGTCAGCACCAACATAGCTTTCAAACAAGCTTGCCAGGAGTTTGTTAGACGATTTTTGGAAAATACCTACTACAGTTTCATTAAGTGGGTCTTTGTTCTTCTCAAGCCACCCAATGATGTTATAGGGAACCTACAGCAAATTGAAAAGAAACCAGAGGTTGCAAATGTTGCCCTTCAGAGCAGTAGTTCTTTATGATTTGGCTTGAAGCTGATGACTTTTGGTGAAGTGTTGCACTCAGAGCAGCACCAGCCACCTATTTTTATCTCTCTTCCCATCCACTTTTTTTGCTTCCTAACTCCCAAAACTCTCTTCCTAATAATTACCATCTGAATCCTGCACACCCCTTCAAAAGTCTCTGGTCCCTACATCTCATGGACTCTATGAAGTTGGCTGTAGAGACACCACATGTCATCAGCACCCCAGGATCCCTGCTAAGTGCTGAAGTATGAAATGCACAAGTAATAATTTCACTTCACAGCAGCATGCTACTCTGGAATAATTAGGGTTTTCTGACAGAAACTTAATGATTAAAACCTAACTGCAGTACTTTGCCACAGCTCTGTTTGGTGGGAAAATATGTTCCATTATTAGCATCACAAGGGGACAGAAATTCTAATTTTCTTTACTGAATACATTAACAACTACAGATAAAGACCAAGACGGGCAGTATTTCTCTTAAGAAATACAAAAATAGCTTAATGTTAAATTTTAATTTGAAATCAATGGCATCAGGTAAGTGCATCTCTGCTCTGATGAGGCTTCATATCAACTCTAGTTTGACAAAAAATTTCCTGTATCCATTTCAAAATCTTTCAGCCTATCTGGTCTGCAAACAGAGTGTTGAAATTGGCAAGTTTTGGCTCAGGTATCACAGTTCTGGATTGCCTTCTGCAGTTCATTTCGTTTTATTTGTGTATCCAAGGACCAGATGTCCTGGAGTCTGGTGGCATCTTATCGTGTTGCAATACTTGTGCAAAGAGGAGTGTTTTTACTCCTCACTTTTCCTTTCTTCCCCTCTTCATAATTCCCACCCTCCCTTGTTGTGTGCTATGGGCCAAACCACACCTGGAAGACCTCTAATACAAAGTCTACCCATCAGTGGAGGAACTTACTGAACCAGCATAATGAACAAGTTCAAAGTGAGCTTCGTATTTCCTTTTCTTATCAGGCCTGGGCTTCTGTAAGTTAGGTGACTTGCCAAGATGGTTGTCATAGAGTTTGGCTTTGAACGTCATATCTGTAGCTTTCGGGAACATGCATTCCTCTTCAAGGATAGACAGGATTCCCAATGGCTGTGGATTTAAGAACATCTTTGTTGGAAAATGCTTAGGCTGCCTGCTTTCAGTAGCTGTGCAGCCTTTAAGTTTGATCTGATGGAATTTTAAGCCTGCAAAATTTCTTCTTATACCTGAGGAGGAAGCCTTTGACTATTCTGTTAAAATAGTAACCACACCTTTCACTATTCATTATGACATGTCTGCGTTAGGAGGCTTTACGATGACTTCCAGAAAGGTTTGATTTACCATCCAGGACAGCTGGACCAAGTAGCATTTTATCATTCATGTCACAAGAAAAGATTATCAAACTTCCTAGCACTGGACAGCTTTCTTGAGGGACTAGGACCACATGCAGGTATCCTACCCCAGCGAAGAAGGTGATCAAGTAGAAAAGCACTTAATAATTAACCTTTCTCCTCCAGCTACTCCACATGTCCTGCTAATACAAGATTTAAAATTTCATTTTTCCTCATGGATCAGCAAGGTTAGATGCATGCCATAAGATATGGCAGAAAGATACACAGCAAGGGACAGCTGTCCCCACCAGGACCACATTATACTCACAAAGAAGGGAAAAGGAAAGGCATGTCTACAGTAGGGAAGCAGTGAGATGGAAGCAATAGTTCCAGGCTAAGAAGAGCACAAAGGACGTTGCACATCAACACATAATGTAGGAAATGGGAACCTCGCAGGGAGAGGGACAGGGCATGTCACTGAATTTTTTTGCCCTGAAAACATGACAAGCCAGTCTGATGTTAACCATATGTGGAACAAAGTAAATGGAAGAACAGTAGGGACAGAGAAAGACAAAAGTAAAAAATAAGCAGGATTATACAGCCCTACAAATTAACAGTTACAGCTTGTGGTTACTGTTGGCTCTGTAAGGCAAACTTACAGAGGTAAAGCCAAGTAGCCTCAAATGTCACAAATATGATTTTCATTTGATTCTCTATTGCATATACAAAGGCAAGAAACTCGTCCTGCTGTCTATTCTACTCTGTTCATTGGGCCTTGGGGACATCTCCAAAGAAGTATCATGAAGAAAACCAATTCAGCAAATATACCTTAGCACTCCTGTACATACCTTCTCAATCAGATCAATGCAGGCCTGCAGGTCCATGCCAAAATCAATGAATACCCATTCAATGCCTTCCTTCTTATACTCTTCTTGCTCCAGGACAAACATGTGATGATTGAAAAACTGTTGCAGTTTCTCATTAGTGTAATTGATGCAGAGCTGCTCAAAGCTGTTAAACTGCAGAAGGAGACAAAAAAGAAGCATTTGCACCACAGTTAACTACGGTAAAGGCTTGGTGGAACAGCAAGAAGGAAACTGTTTACATCTAAAACCTTCTAAACAGTAACTGGTTGAGAAACTACTGGGCATAACACCAAAGGCAAAGCAGGAGGGAGTTCAGTGCAGGCTGATAGCTGCATCACATACTGTCCTCCAAAGTGTGAGGATGCCCAGATTTGTTCAGGTTTCTCAGGATGCACGTGCCTTTCCTTCAGCAGCGTGCCACACCAGTCCTGTAAACCAGAGCCAATACGCTCTTTGCTTTGCTGCAACACATACCAGCAATGGCATTAAGCACTTATCTTCAGGAATGGGTTCTGAGAAAAAGAAATTGTGATGTCCTTTTGTCACATACAGTTCTTTACAGTGATGACACAGTCACAGAAATGTCCAGGTTGGACAGGACTTTGAAAGATCATCTGGTCCAACCCTTCGTGGTTAAGGGGGACTATATCAGATTTTAGAGCACCTTGTAGTATCACATCTTGAAAACTCCAGTGATGGGGACAGTAGGAAGTCTGGGACGGTTGTTCCAGTGAATGATTGTTCTCACTGTAAAATATTCATTTCTTATATTGGGATGACGATATATCTCATATTGAGATACAAAAAGGAAGAAATATCACACCTTGTAAAAGATGCTTCCTCTAAAACAGAAATCGATGGAACAATACATTCTCCTAAAACACTGCCCAAAGCACGTGACATTGTCTTTGCTAAAGATTACCACCCTCTTCCTCCCCAGGAACTATCAGCATGTCTAGCTGTGCTAAATGCTGAGTGTTTTCTCCATCTATTCATGGAAAACCCCTGTAAAATCATATACACTATTTGTTTTATGGCTTTCTCAGCTCTTTGCCTTCTGTTCATATAGAAAAAGAAATTCCCACCCAAGAGCTAGCACTTGGTATCTTTTACATCCTTCCACCAGGTTCTCACACATTAATACTCACATCAAAGATTTCAAACCCAGCAATATCCAGCACTCCAATGAAGAACTGTCTTGGCAACTTAGTGTCCAAGGTCTTGTTGATACGGACCACCAACCATTTGAACATTCGATCGTACACTGCCTTAGATAAGGCTCCAACAGCATACAAAACCTAAAATATGCATTTCAAAATATCACTGAGTGGAACAGAATTCACTGTGGAACACAAGGGTTTCAGAGCAGTACCTTATTTCAATCCCTGCTTATGGTTTAAATGAAATTTCACAATGGTTCTTACAAACACCAAGGCATGCTTAATACAACACACAGCTCCTCCCATTATCTATGCTGACTTTTCTTCAAATTGTTGTTATGTATATGTATGTGTACTAACACGTACATAAAGTGGTAGTAAAGTACCTCTTGCGAAACAGCTGGACAGCAAGTTGAAAATGTTTTAATCCCTTACTTTGCCATGGAAGCTAGGTACCAGAAAGCTCACAGGCTGGATACCAGCCATGATGCCCAGAGCTGCTGCCAAAATAGGGGAGGTCTGGGTTCAGGTTGCGTATTGCCATGTGCTTCTAATGTTTGAGGGATGCTATGGCATAATCAGGCAATAGGAGGAGTCTGTCGGAAGTCTCTTCTTTAACCTATGCACAAAGGATACACCAAAAGGATAGACCTCTCTCCAGCACTTTTCTGGTTTCTGAGCCTGTACCACAGCCTGTCTGGGAACAATTGTCATTGTAACCAAAATGCTGCAGCATCTTCTGTGACACTGCTACAGCTGCAGCAGTACCAACCCAATGACTTTTGTTTCCTACATTAAGAGATACCTTTAAGTGAATATTGCCTTTAGCTGATTGAGGTCACAAAGAGTTTAAAATCATAGGAATAATGAATGAATGAATGATGACGGAATAAATACTCCATGGCTCAAGTCTTCCAGATTACTATTCTCATCCAGAATTCGATATCAATCCTCACGTGGTTTTACTGCACCTGGTTTCCTTCAGTGGCTGCTACTAACACATCAGAAAAACAACTCTATCAAAGGCAGTGCCAGCCACCAGTCCTTTGTCAGTCTCTTTACCAGTTCCCTGCACTTTCACTGTTTATTCCCCCACGTTGGGGGATATAAAATTGGAACAGGTACTAGAGGTACATGTTAATATTTCTTGCAGCTGTCTGTCTCTCTGAGATGTTACAGATGAACCTTTAAGGCTTGCAGGACAGGTGTCCAAATACCTGGAAAGTTTCTCGTTACCTGTTCGACACTTTGACCTTTGGTCACATACTCGTTGCCAACTTTCACTCTAGGGTGCAACAAACCCTTAATCAAATCAGAGGAGTTGATTCCCATTAGGTAGGCAGCTTTATCAGCACCTGATCAAGAGAAACAGGGTTTTAACTGGCTTTGAACTTCTACATGGAAACATGCCTAGCCGAGATAATAAACATTAAGTATATCCACTTCCAGAGAGAAAGCAGATAAAGGCCTTGCTCTTTAATGATTTATGTTAGGTGTTCCTGTACTGTCCCCTGTGGTAGAGAATATCATCTAGCTACCTTAGACCCTAATTACTGCAAGAATCACACTTGAGAAACTCCTCAGGTTTAGGGAAAAGAAAGTATCTCCATGCCGGTTATAGGCAGTTTCAGGTGCAAGAGGAAGTAAAGAAGCAAGACCTGAAGACATGAAAGAGAAAGCTAAGGCAACAAGTTTTTACAAGCATTTTGCTCAAATGATCACAAGAATGGAATTTAATTGGTTTACTCTGACTTACGTCTATTCACCTTCTAGTAAGTAAGGTTATCCACCACTGAACAAGTCACTGCTACAAATGAAGCACAGCACTCTTACTGAGCAGGAGACACATTGTGCAAGATCAAAGCAAACAGGATCCTACTTCCTCAAGACAGTGCATGATGCATGTCAGACTTTTGAAGGTAATGAGTTATTTTAGGTGTTATTCTTACTTTCAGTGCCATCAGCCTCTGCCTGCTCTTCTCTGGGTCTTTGTTTGAATTTCATGTTCCCAAAGTGCATGATGGCACCTGTGAGCTTGTAGGAACCAGACTTCTCATCAGGCACAAATCCCAGAATATCCATGGCTTGCTGTGAAAAGCAAATGTAGATATTTTGTCACTTCCCTGTTCAAAAGCAATGGCATTTTGCAGCTCCTCAATTTACCTTTGCATGACAGATATTACTAACCTTCCAAGGGGTATTATTTCATAAAGCAGCCACTGGAACACCCTGATGATCCAACAGTGGCTGGGGAGCAGGAGGAGAGCTCCTTTTATCTAGCATTTTCTATATCAAAATTATAAGACACAATAGTCTTATATACGGGCATTGCATGGAGCATGGCCAGATTCAGAAGTATAATTGTTTATCAGGCCTCATGCTTCACAGTATGAATGCAATTAAGACCCATTTCTGCTTTTACTTTAGTCCAATAATTTCAGTGACAGAAGTTAGGCTCCCACCAGCACTTTTCCTCCCCATGTGCACCTAATCTATGAAGCACAAAGTGAAATTAATACAGGCTTACATCTGTTGCCAACAATTCTTCTCCATCATCCAAGTTGTCCACTGTAACTACTCCTTGTGAGCAAAAGTGGTAGTCATATGGGTTGGTAGATACCAGTAGCATATCTGTAAAAGAACTGCCAAGGTCAGAACCTCCATCCATTCAGAATATCCCAAAAATACAGATTGAAAAATCAGCTCTGACATACATTTGTCTCTGAACAACTGTGCATAGTTTTCTGTTCTGGTGTTGGTTTGTTGGGGTTTTCTACAACTGTAGGGCAACAACTAACTCTCATTCTACTGTCCAGTCTGAAGACCAAGATTTAGAGAAAGCATGAATAAAAAGAATATGGGAATACTGCATACATATCTATTAAGCATGTATTGCAGTATACTGAGTTTATAATTTCCCATAGAGCCCTTCAGTTTGCCTTGTATGCCAATAGGTGTAAAAAATCCCATCTATATGCAGAGGAGAAAAAGATTTTAGTATGATCTAAGACAGGGACAATGGGCATGGTTCCCCTCTTTCATAACAGACTCACAAAATAGCAACTTCCAGAACTCTTCAGAACACACTTGGCTCTGGTCGAACAACAGTGAATATGGCTCTCTCTTTCTCTGCTCTTTCCTTTTCCTTCACATCAAAACCCCAAATTGTAGAGTTGTTTTCTAGAAAGCTAGCTGGCTCCAAAAATACAGGGAGAGTCCTGCTTCCTTAAATCAACAGAAAGTTTCATCCACATTCAGCAGACCAAGGTTTAGTCTAGATTTCAATCTTTTCTATACATATACACAAACCTACATGTCTAACTATGTATGTATGTAAATATGTATCTACCAATATATATGCATATAAAATATATATTATCTCTATATTGCTACATAGAGAGCTATAGAGATATTGTCTCTATATCTGTCTTTGCTATGTAGTCATTATGTTATGTATTCATTTATTTACCTTTATATTTATCTACCTTTATACATGTATGGGTTTATATACAAACATGTACATTTCTGTCTACAAAACAGAAGGCCCCATTGGTTTCAGCCCCTTCAAGGGCCTGCAGACATGCTCCTGTTGACCAGAAAGGTGTGTGCTTGTAGAGTATACAGAAAGATAGTTTATGAGAAAGAGCACATTTTCCCAGCACAGGGATCCACATGGGAATCCAGTACAATGCTTCCTTGAAATCTTTCCCGTAATTGTCATTAATTAGGCCACATAAAAGCTAAGAGGGTTAGGGACTTAACTGAACACTATCAGGATAATAAGACTTCAAAACAGATTATGATTGCTATGGCTCAGTAGGAGTTTAGTAGAGCAATAAAGTGACTCTTCAAGATATTTTATAAAATGTGTTCCATCAAAGCACAAATTAAAGTCAGCAAACCACATCACTTAAATAACTATTGAAGGTTTTATTCAAAGCATTAGGAGATGGGAACAGAGACCTCATCTACTCTCCGCTCTTTTCCAGCAGCTCTGTGGTACTGCATTCAGCCAGGGGAAGCTTAAAAGGGGTAATCACCACATAATCAGCAGCAGTTAGCTTTGCGTATTCTCTCTTGCTACACAACATGCTAGGATGCCAGTTTTGGCACTTGAGGCAGAAAGAGGAAACTAGCTTTTCTTCATGGACCTGTAAGCCAATCTCCTCATATGTGGAAAAAAATAGATCCTTAAAGTTTTATCACCACAAATGCTTTTGTAGGTGTAGCATTTTCGAGATGTTTTGAGATCTTGGATTACACACATTCAGCATGATGTTTTTTGCCTTTATAATGCTACCTGTTGAAATCTTGTCTGAGTCTCCTATCATAGAAGCGTTTAGGTTGGAAAAGACCTTGAGGAACGCAGAGTCCAACTGTTACCCCATCATTGCCAATTCGACCACTAAACCATGTCACTAAGCACCAAATTACACATCTTTTGAACACTTCCAGGGGTGGTGATTCAACCACTTCCCTGGGCAGCCTGATCCAGTGATTGACAACCCTTTCAGTGAAAAATTTTTCCTAACATCCAGTCTAAGCCTCCCCTGGCACAACCTGAGGCCATTTCCTTTTCCTGTCACTTGTTCCTTTGGAGAAGAGACCAACATCAACCTTGCTACAACCTCCTGTCAGGGTGTTGTAGAGAGCAATGAGGTCTCCCCTCAGCCTCTTTCTCTCCAGACTGAGCTACACCAGTTCCTCCACTGCACTTCACTTTATAGGGTACCTGCACCAGTATATCACAGAAAATTTGTCTCTCTTGCTGCCATTGGAACAGCATTTTTGAAA